GGCAACAGCACTTTGCTGACGCTCCTTCTCAGTAATCCCACCGATGTTTTCAACAAGCTCAAAGCCCACAACCCCGAGGCAACCAATGCCACCGACCGCGCTGCACTAGAGGCGTATCTCTCCGCCCGCCGCGAATACGACGAGGCTGTCAAGGCAGCCGACGAGGCCATCGACCACCACAAGCGGCTCCTACGCCAACAGGACGACCGCGTCCTCACCGAGCTCATCCGGCTCGACAATCTGAAAGTTGCCCATCGCTTTCAACCGCTCTTACCACGCAGCATCCGGGCACGGCACAACAAATTCATCCCGTGCGCCATCCCCAACGCATACTTACCCCTACCCGCACCCCTACCGATGTCTGCCTTCAGGCGCCCCCCGATCCCATCCCCTTTCCTCCAAGCAACGCCGCGAAGCACTACCATCCCGGCCGACTGGCAACCCAACCCTGGTTGAACCCCGAAGGGGAGCTGTAGGCGATGCGGATTGTCTCAACACTGGGTACGAGACTGTCCGAACATACGATGCACAAGATGCGAAAAAGAAGCCCCTGGACACCTGGAGCGAGAGTGCGGAACCAGGCCAATGAAGCGACACGTATCCGCACCACCTGAAGAACCTGCACGACGCATGGGGGTGGTCGTTGACAACGTGTTCCTCGAGGGAATCATCAACGAGGCGAAGGAGAGGAAGGAAAGAGAGAGGCAGACGAAGGCGGTACCTATCCCCCCACCATGCAGCACTAACCCCGAACCCCAGGCTAGTCCCATTGTGGGATCCTCACGCCCCCGCCCTGATACACCCATCGTCTTTCGCAAAGTCGACCCCGATTGGACACCCGACACTACTCCATGGACGTGGGACAGCTCCTGGCCGCATCAGGAGCACCTCTCTGGCGAGGAATGGAAGAATGTGGGAAGGAACACGTGCAACGAATGGTTCGATGAAGAGGAGGACGATGGCGTAGACTGGGAGTTGTATGGAGATGGTGAGCAGTAAGTAGTCAAATGGGACTTCGACTCTGGCAGGGGGGTAATGAAACATTTATCTTTCCATTCTATTTCTTGTACTACTAGCGCCCATACTGGCGCCCGTCTTAGCGCTCACCCGCAGGTTGAACATTATGTAGCTTACATAATGGGGTCCGTGCGCACTTCGTATTGGGTATCGTACCACTACATTTCTTTCCTTACTAACACGACCACACAGATACAGTGGTCTGTGCATAGATGGTACTTGTATAAGTAGTTGTACCATTAGTCGGTTGAACCCTAAGTTCGACCTAGTTATTCATTCAAGTCTCTGCTCCTCTTCACTTGGGGTAGTGGTCATTCTCGACTTCCTCACTCGATCTTCAGGATGATGCACTGTCCATAAGCCCTCGCTCGTCGTCTACAAGTCAGGCATCAATATAGGAGTATAGACTGTTGTATCAGCTTGAATGTCCTGTTTTCAAGTGCAAACATTTGCTCAAGGCTTATGCGGATATTTTTGAAGACTTGTATTAGTGCGGATTCTTTCAGGATATGACACTTTGTATGGTTCGAAAACCGCCCGCTATATATTCTCTGTGATATAGTGGTCATAATATGAAGGCTGCGTTGATAGGCGCCAAGCCCCTCTGGGCCCCGATACAGCTCTTTTCGGCAATCGCATCCCGCCTGGCACTTCGGCTCAGTCACCCAACACTTCGATTTCGCCTTCGACGCTCTTCGACATCTTCGACGGTGCGCGACGCTTGCTCGAAGCTCGGCGCGGTCATCCCGATGCCTCGCGCTGATACGACCTACGAAACCCTAACCCCTAACCTGGGTGCGACCTAAAGGGACTAGAGAGACGGATTATAGTCTAGTGAGAGGGGAGTTAGCAGCAAGGTGTCCCGCGGTTCGAGTGAACACGAGAAACACCCTTGGAAAAGGCTACGAACGATGGGGAAGGTACGAGGTGGCTTCGACACGTCGTCGAAGCTACTCGGAGGCTGTGGGTGGTTAGCGGAGACGATCGAAGCTCGGCAGAGCTCTTCGATGTATCGTAGAAGGAAGGGACACAACTCGAAGGGTGGACTTAGCTAGGGCGCGGTTCGCAGTTTCTTTGACAATAGTCGAAGTCGAAGGGTTCGTCGAGATGGTATCGACGAGTAAACACCGTGGACGAGGTTTCGAGGTTACGCAGCGAGGGACGAAGTGACGCAGTTGAAGGCTTAGACGCGGGGCGAACTCGACTTGTGAGCTCTGAACTCGAGGGGGGAACCGGATCTTGTATTTTTAGAGAGAAGTACGACAGATTTTATACTACACAGGACGCTACGACTATCGAAAGTGGCACCCTGGTACAAGGGGCTTTGCATTGTTCCTCAAGAAGCTGCCTCACCGAGGGGCACATACCAAGTCCATCGGTAGAGTGACGTCATGCCGAACGCGGAGATGAAGAGCAACATATGGCCACTTCGGACCGGTAGCCGTCGTGAAGGCATGCCGCGAGGTTCGATACCTAATCGGGAAAGACCGGCTACTTCGGTGTGGCTTGGAGCGAAGCGCGCGCTTGGCCGAGCGGCGTCAAGTGGCCCTATTGTTCGCCGAATGCGGAAGATGTCCCGGGATCTACGCGCGAGGCATCGGGACGACCGTGCCGAGCTTTGAGTAAGCGTCGCGCACCGTCGAAGGTGTCGAAGAGCGTCGAAGGCGAAATCGAAGTGTTGGGTGACTGAGCTGAAGTGCCGGGCGGGATGCGATTGCCGAAAAGAGCTGTATCGGGGCCCAGAGGGGCTTGGCGCCTATCAGCGCGTAGATCTCGGGACATCTCCCGCATTCGGCGGACAATAGGGCCACTTGACGCCGTTCATCCAAAGTGCGGGCATCGCTCCGTGCCACACCGACGTAGCCGGTCTTTCCTGATTAGGTATCGAACCTCGCGGCATGCCTTCGACGACGGATACCGGTCCGAAGTGTCTCGTATGTTTCTCTTCATCTCCGTGTTCGGCATGACGTCACTCTACCGATGGACTTGATACGTGCCACTCGGTGAGGCAGACTCATGCGGGACAATGCAAAGCCCCTCGTACTAGTGTGCCACTCTCAATAGTCGTAGTGTCCCTTGCGTAGTATAAAATCTGTCGTACTTCTCTCCAAAAACAGAAGATCCGGGTCCCCCCCCTCGTGTTCAGTGATACAATGGTCTATACTCCTATGTTGATGCCTGACTCGTAGACGACGAGCGAGGACTTATGGACAGTGCGTCGTCCTGAAGATCGAGCGAGGAAGTCGAGAATGACCACTACTCCAAGCGAAGAGGAGCAGAGACTTGAATGAATAACCAGGTCGAACTTAGGGTTCGACCAACTAATGGTACAACTACTTATACAAGTACCGACTGCGCACGGACCATCGTGTCTATGTGGTCGTGTTAGTGAAGAAAGAAACGTAGTGATACGATACCAGGCACGAAGTGCGCACGGACCCCATTATGTAAGCTACATAATGTTCAACCTGCGGGTGAGCACTAAGACAGGCGCCAGTATGGGCGCTAGTAGTACAAGGAATAGAACGGAAAGACAAATGTTTCATTACCCCCCTACCAGAGTCGAAGTCCCATTCGACTACTTACTGCTCACCATCTCCATACAACTCCCAATCTACGCCGTCGTCCTCCTCTTTGTCGAACCACTCCTTGCGCGTGTTCCTCCCTACGTTCATCCATTCCTCGCCAGAGAGGTGCTTCTGATTCGGCCAGGAGCTGTCCCACGTCCATTGAGTGGTGTCCGGTCTCCAGTCGGGATCGACTTTGCGAAAGACGACGGGTGTATCGGGGCGGGGGCGCGAAGGTCCCGCGACGGGACTGGCGGGGGGTTCGGGGTTAGCGCTACGCGGTGGAGGGATGGGTATCGCTTTCATCTGCCTTTCTTTCTCCTTCCTCTCCTTCGCCTCGTTGATGATTCCTTTGAGGAACACATTGTCGACGACCACCCCCACGCGTCGCGCAGGTTCTTCAGGTGGTGCGGATACGTGTCGCTTCATTGGCCTGGTTCCGCACTCTCGCTCCAGGTGTCCAGGGGCTTCTTTTCCGCATCCTGCGCATCGTACGTCTGGACAGTCCCGTACCCAGTGTCGAGACGATCCGCATCGCCTGCAGCTTCCCTTTGGGGTCCAACCAGGGTTGGGTTGCCAGTCGGCCGGGATGGTAGTGCTTCGCGGCGTTGCTTGGAGGAAAGGGGATGGGATCGGGGGGCGCCTGAAGGCAGACGTCGGTAGGGGTGCGGGTAGGGGTAAGTATGCGTTGGGGATGGCGCACGGGATGAATTTGTTGTGCCGTGCCCGGATGCTGCGTGGTAAGAGCGGTTGAAAGCGATGGGCAACTTTCAGATTGTCGAGCCGGATGAGCTCGGTGAGGACGCGGTCGTCCTGTTGGCGTAGGAGCCGCTTGTGGTGGTCGATGGCCTCGTCGGCTGCCTTGACAGCCTCGTCGTATTCGCGGCGGGCGGAGAGATACGCCTCTAGTGCAGCGCGGTCGGTGGCATTGGTTGCCTCGGGGTTGTGGGCTTTGAGCTTGTTGAAAACATCGGTGGGATTACTGAGTAAGGAGCGTCAGCAAAGTGCTGTT